TATAGGAGGGTGCGTCTAAGTATACGAGAAAGAATGTCTCCCGGTACCTTTTAGGATCTTAAAGAATGGCTTCAAAGAACGTCGCAAGATATCATTAAGACTTTCCTGGTAACCGAAAATCTTCGGTTATAATATATCAGGGTCTAGCCGAGTTAGTAAAGACTTTGATTTTCGATTGATGCATACGAGCAACACGAAGTACCCTTTATGAAAGAAAAAAAGATTTGATCGACTTGTCGTTGGAACCAGAAATAATAATTCGCAGTCTGGTTACGTCCTTGTAATTTTCCATGACGTTTCGAGAACGTCAAAGGCCTGGTGCACGTAAGTTATTTTTATGCAAGAAAAGAGAATTCTCATGGTTTGTTCATGGCTTCTTTTCGCGATCCCTTTTCTCCCAACCAAGATTCATTCATCCAGACCCTATTCACGAGATTTAAAATTCCGAGTAAAAGGATTCAAAGCGATACACGAGTCTCGCTCCTTTCATAAAATAAGATTAAAAACAATGCGTTTCCCACAGGTAATACGATAACGTTATAAAATTTTAACGAGCTCGTCAAGATTATCGACCAATCATCCACAGTACTTCAAGCTAGTAAGGATGCTGACGATCAGATCTTAACGCCCCACAGCGATCGTACGAGAATCACGTGATTCACGTCCCACGCAGCCAAACTTGATGTAGAAGTGGAGTGAAGTTTGCAGTGCTCCTCAGGTTGTTTAGGAGGAGACGCGTTCAAGAGTGTATAGAAGTAATAGAACATTCTCCAAACCTGAACGGAGTCCATTGACGAAGGAGGGTCTCAGGAGGAAAGACTTGGACCGAACCAAGAGGGTACTTGGTAGGAATTGCCTCAGGATATTTCACGTTGATTTTTGGTATTGTCCCTTCCACGAAGCTGACTTCTACATAAAATCGAAGGTACTATTAGGATCGGAGTAAAATATAAATGATTACGATAACTGTAAAGGTTATGAGAATTACGAGGAAAATAGCAGAGACAGCAGTAGCATTAATAATATAACGAGCCAAGTAAAATAACCATGAGCTGAACTCGTCCCAACCCACGCAATACTAAAGCTTCGTCTAGGCCTCTAATTGGACAGAAGTTATTTAGGTTTTTACCCAAACTTTTGTTTCCTGGATGAATGATTTTAGTAAAGGATCCTGAGATTGCTCGTGAAAGAGCTGACCAGTGTCGCACGATAGGATTCTCCAGAAGCTTCTGATGATGCGCGGTCTTTGACTAATGGGAGAGTTAAGAGAAGTCAGAGTTGAAAAGTTTCCACGTTTCTAGAGCCTCCTCGAGTTCATCCGGATCGATATTGCTTTGTAATTGCCTTATGAAACCTCGTCATTGACCTTGCCGGTTGTCGTTCAGTCGTATTCGTCAGACGAAGCTCCGTCGGTAATGCGTCCTGCAGTCGCTGTAGCACGAAACGTTATAGCATGGGATTACGTTGGCTGAAGTCCGTTAACATTTTTGGGACTAAGTTCAAATGTATACCAACTCTTGGCAGATTTTGATCTTTTGAACTTTGACATTCGACTGTTTCAATAATCATCGGGTCTAGAGAAACACCGGGATCACTGACGCTACTGGTAATTCAATTAAATCCCATAGTCGATATCCATGCTCTGACACGTGACAATTAACCTGTACTTCGTACTTTTTTCAGCGTACAAATGCTCTATCGCTTAAGCCTTGTTGAAATCATACCCTTGATACGTTATCGAATACTTTCTCCCCCGTATACACTTAAGCATCCCTTAAGTGAAAATTGTCGGGTCTCTACTTGGAATTCTTAATTTTACTCTTGATAACATAAGCTATCTAATGAAATGATTATAACGAGCGGCAGGTGGTTATAGAAAAGAGAAAAAAGGTAAGTTCTAGTTTCCGTGTACCCCGTGGTGATCGACTTTGCTACTAATTACGAGTTCCTGAAAGCATCAATGCACTATAGGGTCACACCTTGGAGGAAGAGACTTTAGTTTGTTGCGCGATCGCATTTCCAGACACGTTCTCAGCCTGGATGTCGGCGCAGGGACAAAGCCAGCCGCAGACTCTGGGAGAGTGTAAAGCGGCAAAGGCGATCTAAGAATAAGAAGAAGAACAACAAGAATAATAAGAAGGAGATATGTGGCACGGGGAATAAGTATGAGATAAGAATCTCATATTGTACTTTGAAAAATGTAAAAATACGTGCACGTATGTATATCAGCCGAGGCAAAGCGATTATTCGCATGTCTGAACTCCAATTTTAAAAGCACTTGATAACCGGTACGATGGCACACGTGTCACAGGATGGTTTCTACAGGGTCACAACAGGCAACAGGAAGGTTTTCTAAGCCTAGAAAGCATCGAGGAATGGAGATAACGAACAAAGGTATTTGCAGTACACCCCGACTAGCCATTCATCTTACAATTAGTGCTCTGCCACATCAGCAGTCTGACGTCATTACACGCTACAAGGATGTGCCTTGTAAAGTGAAATGTAATGGGGATACCACAGGGCGGTTTTTTAAGGAGGGAAAACGTCGAGAAATGGCAATAGTCATTAAGGAGCTACTGTCGAAACTACCTACTTGAATTTTCACGTCTGAAACTTTTATAGGTTATAAAATAAACAATTTTGAACTCAGTTGCAAAATTTGAAGGTCGGTCACCGACGAAAATGTTAATAAAGGTAATACTAAAAAACGAAACTTTATATATCGACTCAAAGGTCACAGAGATTGAATTTCGACTTTGGATAAGAAACTAACATATTTAAAGTGAACTTTGAAGCAAAACATGGTATAGTGCGGATTCGTGAATTCTTCAGGATTTGATACAAACCATAAAAAAGTGACATTACCGGGTGTTTCAAAAAGTAATTGCAAATTAAATGAAGAATTCACCAGGAGAGACCTAATAGACAAATAAATAAAAGTCAAATGGGAGTATGATTTTTAAATATATTTGTACAAATGAGCTAATTTCACAAAACCAAATACCTACAAATAAATTACTATACTTAATGTGAATAATTTCATAGAAAGTTTCGTTTGTTTTAATCGATTTATGGAATTGATTCGATAGTTGATCAGTTGACTAGCATGAATCGACAGGACCTCCTTAAAGGCATTCGGACACCCCAACTAGCCACTTATCTTAGTGCTCTGCTACCTCGCTGATCTGTCGTCATTACGTGTTAAAGGGATGTACCTTGCAAGGTAAAATGTAATATAGACGTCAGGAGGGGACCGAGAGCTAATGAAATTAAATATAAAAACGAAGACAAGCCCTCGTCTTCTAATGAATGAATGATCTCTTTCAATTAGCGGGCGAGGAAGGGTGGTAGGTTCTCTTATGTCGTCGGAAAGTTCGGACGCGCGACGTCGATTTTGACGTCGTACCCACTGTAATTGGAAAGCAAGGTTCATTCATCTTGATTAGTTGGTCGCCCTCTGGGGGTAGGATTCTCGTACTCTGTAACACGTTATGCACCCTTGGCGACTGTGACGTTAGCTTGGCAGATACTCGCGTAATCTACCCCCAAAGGAGTCAAAAGCAGTTTAAAAGGATCGTCAAGATTTTCGCAAGTGCCTTGAATCATTGGAAACTGCAAATTTGTAACGATACAAAATTACCGGATATTCTTTCGAAAAATATATCACTTGATTTATCTTATAAAATTATCAATAATATCAGTCATCTTTGATGTGGTACCAAATAACAATTTTATTTTATTTTATAAAATTTTTACTCATATTCCGTCTAATATTTTTCACCGTGGAATCTATATAGTCATAGCCTCAGTAAGATTATGCGAGTTGATTTTCTTAGTGAAAGAACAACTGTCAAATATATGTTATTTACGATATTCATAAGCAGCAACTCAAGATGGCTGCTATGAAAACTTCAATCCTCTTAAAACTGAATTACGCTCGTTCTTGTCTGAATAAGTTCACTTATTATATCTTTCTGTCCCTCGCGCTAGGACCTTCATATTCCGTGGAATCGATTTCACGTCTCGTCATTCTCTTTTATCGTGTCCTTCCTCCTCATCTCTTTTTATTCATCTATGTTCCCCCCCCCCCC